TCCCTCCCTCCCTCCTTCCCTCCCTCCTTCCTTGTGAGACAGTGTCTTGCTATGCAGCCCAGGATTGTCTTGGACCCATGATCCTCCTGCCTCAGCTTCCTGAACACCTGAGTTACACAGATGTGTATCATCATGTTCTAAAAATTCTGTATTTCAGGTGTAAACTGCTGGGTGTGTACAGTGACTAGGAGTCAAGATTTCAAACCCGACTGCCACCAGGGGTGGAGAGAAAGGTTGCCTTTTGAGGCTGCATTGTGGGAAGAAAACAGGAAGCCAGTGGACTGTGTGTTCCTGGCTTCTGTTTCCATTTCAGAATAATCTAGATTGGTCCAGAGATATCCCAGACCTATACACTAAGTAGCCTTGAAAACATGTTAAAACTTCTAAAGGGATAGCCCATGGCTAAGTACAACCAATTGCTTTTGGGGGGGACCTTTGTGAGTTCTTGAGTAACGTGTCCTTCAGTGCCCTGAAGCAGGAATTTAAAGTTGTTCTTATTAACAAGATGGCTCACACAAACCAGCTCTGGGGGGAGTGGGGGAGGCATGAATTAGTGAATGGCTTTGTACTGTGGAAGGCCTTCTCCTGCATTATTTTGATTAGCAAATGTTTTTCCATGATTCCGTTTATAGAAGTTAATGTACTGAAGTAGCTCAGTTAATTCACACAGCTTTTCTGGATCAGTTCCCCTGGGGAAAATGAGAGACACGTACAGTCATCCTGCGGCTTCTCAAAGCATCCAGTTTATAGCCCAGAAGTTGCTCTCGCCTCTGTGAATGCGGCTTTGTGTGATACTCAGGGAGGGGAAATGATTGGCAAGGCATCCTCAAACAGAGAGGCAGCTGTAAATCCGCTAACTTCTTACAGCAGGCTGCAGTCACCAGGCTCTTCCCAGATGCTGCCCTATCTGACAGAGCAGAGGGAAGGGACACACCCAGGACAGGAACTCCCAGACCAGCAAGGTCACTATGGCTGGGAAAAAACCCAAGACCCTGAAATGCAGGTGTTTCTGTATACTATGACTTCCCTAAGAGATATGCAAATAAGGAGGTGGAGAGAGGCCATAGAAGTTTCTTCTCACAATCCAGGACTTTCTGAGGACATTTTTTCTGTCTTAGGGACCATTTGTGCTTGGTGTGCTTTGGTAGGAAACAGAAATGATGAAGGACAGAGAGCATTAAAAGCAGGAAGGTCAAAGCTAGCCTTCCTCTGTGCTAGGTCTTGGTTGGAAGTGTCCTCCCAAACAATTGTGAATGAACACTCCAGGAAAGACCTGCACTTTCTGTTGAGCCCTGCGAGGATAGATGAAGGATTATAACTTCAGTGTGGGGGGAAGTTGGCGTGTTGCAGGTCCAAAGTCTAATTAAAACTACCCTTGGGCTGCCTTCAGCCCCTTGATAGTCATTCCTTGCCTACCTCTATGTCTGGATTAATGTCCTTGTGATTAAGAGGCAAAACCGAAATGAATCAACATCATAGGCCACTAGCTCCCACCAACCAAAAGGCTGAGAGCGCTGTTAGCTAGCATCTGAGGGCGACCAGTGCCTTGATTTACGACTTTCTTTGTTCTTTGCCTATAAAACTTGAAGGAACTGTCATCATGTTGGAATGCAGAATCTGAGGTGACCCGAATCTGTGTTCCTGGGCCATGGTCACTTATAGCTGGTTTCAGAATAAGCTCTCTTACCCATTCGAGGTGGAGCTGTGTTTTAAGGTGGACACAGTCTTGTGTTTAAATCTCGATTCCCACCTGATGGGTTGGAATGGGAGGGCTTTCCTCTCACTAATCAGTAGATTCATAGTAGACGGGAACAGGGCTGGACTGTTGGAGAAGGTGGGTCACTATGGCTGAACCTTTGAAGTGTATACTTCATGCCTGGCTCCTTCCATAGTCTTTCTGCTTCATTGCCTTCACAGATCAGCATTTCCCTCCCTCGGGCCTTTCTACTCCTCGCCCCATCACAAGCCCAGAAGTAACAGAACCAAGTGACTATGGAAGGAGCCCTTGGAAACCATCAGCCAAAATAAACCCCTCAGCGGCAGGCTAGAAACACAGGGGACACAAAGGAGACATGAGGGGCAAAGACAGACGTTCCTCACCTTGGATCTAGTTTCTTTCCTACTGGCAGAAAGTCTACAACAACCAGCAGATAGAGCCCTAAGTGCCTAGAGATACAGCCTCAGACAAGGCCGTCAAAGCAATAAGCTGAGGGTGTGGTTCAGCTGACAGAAGACCTGCTTGAAAGCAGTAGGCCCTGGTTTAGCCCCAGCACCGGGTAAACTGCATATGATGGGGCCTGTTTGGGACCTAGCACTTGGGAGGTGGTGGCAGGAAAAGCAGAAGATCAAGGTCCTCCTTGGCTACATAACAAGTTTGAGGCTAGCCTGGGCTACATGAGCTTCTGCCTCAAAACCAACCAACCAATCAAAGCAACCATTCTTACATGGGGTCAAAACGCTTGCAGCTCTGAATGTTTCTGGCTGGCACTCCCCTTCTCCTTAACCTGAACAGTAAGCCGAGCAATCTGCCAAGGATGGCAGTGACTGCAGGAAACGCTTCCCTCGAAACTGAGGCTTTGCTTAATCCTGAAATCTCTAACCCTCACTGTAATGTGCCCTATGAGATATGTAACCTAGAGAGCCCCGTGCATATGCATCTCCTTTGTAAGGACACCTAGATGCCCCCATACCTTGGGATTACCCACCATCATTTCCCTGTATGAGTCTGTCTAAATACCTTCCCCCCTTTAAGATAAGGGCAAGGAAATGTTTAATTATCATTGTTATTTGTGTGTACATGGTCTATGTGTGTTTATAAGTGTGTATGTGCACATGTGCATGTGCATGCATGCACACCTGTGTGCAAATGCATGTGAGGTCACTATTAGCCTTCCTCTCTCTTTCATAGAGATCTCCCACTGAACCTGGAGCTCATCTATTTGGCTAGGCTGGCTGGTAAATGAACCTCAGAGATCCCCCTGCCTTGCCCCCACCCCCAGCCTCAGCCCTGGCTAACTGACATGTGCCAGCATGCCCAGCTTTTTATGTGGATGCTAAGGACTCACACTCAGGCACTCACACTTGCAAAGCCAGACCTCTTACCCACTGACCCACTTCCCCAGGCCCCAAGTAGATGTTGCTTTGCAGCTTTCCGGAAGAAATTGCAAAACCACCCTTGAAAAGGGATGGCTCTGTGGAGCCCTTCACTACCCAACCCACTTTCCAAGGAAAAGCTATGAAATTAGCATTGGGGGGGGCATGACTCAGGGACACAGGCTGAGGCCCTTATTCAGGACACAAAGCCTGTCCCAGTCACACAGTCTCCTCAGCCACTCAATCAGGGAACTGTAGGATTCACTTGAGAATAGAACAGGCAGGGAGGTCCACTCTGGCCTGGACTCTAGGTGTCCTGGTGATGCACACTGGGTGTCTGAGAAGGTCAAGATGAGGGAGGACTCCACAGTGCATCCTCCTTCCTCCTTTCTGGGAGGCTCTGTTACCCTGGAGACAGGCTCAGCCAGAACGGATGAGTTTTTATCCAGAAATAAACAGGAGCACTTTTTTTTTTTTAAAAGGACATAACCCTGAGCACCACTCGGAGAAACATACTGCCTATTATTATAAATATTTTATCACTGAGCGAGCATCCTAACTACTTCTTACCGTGTGAGCCACCAAGGTGATTTATTTCCCATTTGCTCCCATGCATTGTGTGTTGGATCCGACACAGAGCCTGTGCCCTGGAGGGTTCTCGCTTGCAAACAGCGATCTGCAAGCTAGAGCCTTGCTCAGAAACATTTGCAGGCAAATGCATCTTGGTATGGGTCTTTAATTTCCACACACTTTGATATTTAAGGCCTGGGGTGCTGTGCCCTCATTTTTTTTGGGTTTCCTTGGACTTAAGCTGTCAACATCACAGATGCCCTCTTCCCTACTCCAATCCAATAGCACTGTCACCAAGAATCCTTTAAGGACAGTAATCCCAAAAAATAGAGAGATGCACAGTCCACCGTGCGGCCTCATAACATCAGACGGTTTTATTATTAGGCTCTGCGCCCCGAGCGTGTTCAGTGGGACAAACATCACAGCCCTGCTTGACAGGCTCTGCCTTGGGAAACCTCCTCTGCTGCTGAGAAAGGCGGTGCCTGCGAGGAGGGCCAGCTAATTATTTCCATTAGTTGACGGGTGTGGACACGAGGGATGGCTAAAGTTGGAAGAAAAGCACAGCCCTGAGCTACAGGAACCCATAGTGTGAGGCAGCAGGAGGATGGGTAGGAAGGTCAGGCCACTGGCAACGGCCACCAGCTGGCACAGAGCCCAGGGCCACTGCTACAGGGGAACAAGACTGTCTCCCTCTGACCTTTTGTAAATGCAGGATGACGGCTGGGGGCAGAGATACGGGGAGCATGGGCACTGACTTCCTTTAAGCTCTGCTATACAGACAAGACGGCTTCTGGTTAAAGGAGAATCATGGGCTGCAGGGAACCTTAAGGATGGCAGGCTGTGTCGGCAGCTCTGGCTCGCTCAGAGCAGGGGCTTTCCACAAAGGAGGCGTCTCTCTAGCAACCATCTCTTAAGGCTCTCTCAGTGGACTCAGAAGCCTAACCACCCTCCTCACTCCACGGTTAACTGAAGTGGAGTGACTACAGTCCTAGGTCCTTCATAGACAAGCAAATGGAGCTAAAGAACCAGCATTTTCAAGCCAAGTGGGGTAACACACTCCTGTCAGTCCAGCACTTAGGAGGTGAAGCAAGAGATCAGGAGTTCAAGGTCATCCTTGGCTACCTTGTGAGTTGGAGGCCAACCTGGGCTACATGAGACCTTGACACAGAAAAAAATACATAAAATACAGCCAGAGAGATGGTGCCAGGTAAAGGCGCTTGCTGCAAGGCTAGTGACCTGAGTTTGACCTCTGGGACCAGCAGCATGCAAGGACAGAACTGACTCACACACGTTGTTGTCTCATGAACCTCCACACACTAAAGAAAGAAAGAAGTGTAATAAAACTACAAACAATAAAAAAGGAAGAAAGAAAGAGACCTCAAATGGTACCTCATCTCTAAGAGTTATCAGAAAACGTCTGTCTCAGAAATAACTGTTTACAGCAGTGGTTCTGAACCTTCCTCACGATGCGACCCCTTAATACAGTTTCTCATGTTGTGGTGACCCCCAACCATAAAGTTATTCTTGTTGCTACTTCATAACTGTAATTTTGCTACTGCTATGAACTGTGATGTAAATATTTGTGTTTTCTAATTGTCTTGGGAAACCCTGTGAAAGGGTCCTTTACGGTGGTGGGTTCCTCCTGTAAGGCCAGCACTTGGGAGCTGGAGGCAGGAGGATAAAGTGTTCAAGAATGTCCTCAGCCACCAGTGCTGTGCCAGCCTAGCCTATACAAGACCTGTCTCAAACAAAAAAGCAACAACAATGAAAAAGAGAGAGAGAGAGAAGGAAAGAGAGAAAGGGAGAAAGAGAAAGAAAGGAAGAAAATAGAAAGAAAGAGACAGAGAAAGAAAGAAGGAAAGAGAGAAAGAAAGGGAGAGAGAAAGAAAGAAAGAAAAATAGAGAGAAAGAAGAAAAGAAAGAAAGAGAAAGAGAGGAAGGAAGGAAGGAAGGAAGAAAGAAAGAAGAAAGTAAGTAAGAACACTTTCACAACTTTCCTCCTACGAAGACTCTTAAGCACTCACACCATGAACTCCAGGCCCAGTGTGAGCCAGGGTGGGTACTTGGAGAATAACGGATGCATTCCTGCTTCAGTAAAGCTGATAAGATTAACAAACAGCGGTATAAATTATGAGAGGAGATGTAACGATTACCCTTTAATTCCAGTCAATCTTTCTCCTTTTAATTTGTCTCAACCAAGAGCTCCGCAGTGATGACATTCGGTGTAATTTGGACATTAGCAGTAGCTTGGGCAAAGGAGGTGCTTCTCCCAGATGTGTTCTCCCAGATGTGCTCTCCATACACTCTGAAGCCCACCATCCCAGCTAAGGCTGGGATAGCAACCTATACACCCTTTGGTGACATCTGGCAGGCACATGTGAACACTCATCCTGCGCTAATATAAAAAATACATTGCTTTCATTCCCAACACCTAAACATTGCCAAGTTGTGAGTACACATGTGTATATACATATGTTTATATAGATTTCTTCAGGGAGGTGGAGAGATGGCCCCACACTTAAGAGCTCTTGCTATGGACCTGAGTTCAGTCCCCAGGTCACAGCTGCCTGTAACTCAAGTTCTAGGGCAGCGGTTCTCAACCTCTGGGTCATGACCCCCTTTGGAGATCCAATGACCCTTTCACAGGGGTCACCTAAGACCATGAGAAAACACAGACATTTATATTACAATTCATAACAGTAGCAAAATTACAGTTATGAAGTAGCAATGAAAATTATTTTATGGCTGGGGGTCATCACAACATGAGGAACTGTATTAAGGGGTTGAGGCATTAGGAAGGCTGAGAACCACTGTCCTAGGGCATTTGACACCCTCTTCTGGCCTACTTGGGTACACTTAGGTACACATACCCACACACATATACACACAATCAAATGTTTTTCTTTGATATGTCAGAAGGTCTGGCAAAATGGAGTAACAACCTAACATAGTAACTGTTGGTTAAATACTTCCTCAAATTAATTTAATATCGGTTAAGTGACTGTACTTTGAATGTACAATTCATTGAGGAAGGCTTCACAATGAAGAGTGTATCTGCTATCTTTCCCATAATTCCCCCTTCATTCTTTGGCTTGGTGCAGCCTCTGACACTTGTCCGTGTGGCCTCTGAGGTGGCCACACCCAGGAGGGCTCCACAAAGGTGCCCACTACCTTGTGAACACTGCTTTGCTGCAGGAGGCATCCCTGCATTCTGTCACTTGACCTGGACCAGGTACTTGCCTGAGGATGTAGCCCCGGAGCACCCCATTGTGCTCTGTCTCAGGTGGTGGCTGCCACTGCACCATGATGGACTGGTTGGTTCTCCCACTGGCTACAATGTTTTTTGGGGGAGCACTTGGTGGTTCTTCTGGTAACATCAACCTAAAGATAAAAATATATCAGAGAGAGAGAAAGACAAGGTGCTCAGCCCAGAGCCTTGTTGAGGAGAAAAGCAACCTGAAGCATGCAGCTGGCCTCATTGAGGCTGTGTATGCAAGAGCTATGGCAGTCAACATGCCAGGAACAGCCAGGAGGCAATGGCAGATGTGTGGTTCATCGAGTGTTCATCTAGTATTCTGGTTAGCTCTGTTGACGTGACAAAACCTGCAAACACCTGGGAAGACAGTCTAAATGAGGGATTATCTACATTAGGTTGGTCGGCCGGTATGTCTGGGTGGGGCAGGCAGGGGTGTCTTAATTAAGTTGATTAATGTGGGGAGATCCAGCCCACTGTGGGCAGTATCATTCCCTACGCAGGAGTCCTGATTTGTATAAGAGTGGAGAAATCCAGCTGAGCACAAGCAAGCATGCATGCATCACTTTCCCTCTGCCCTTGACCGTGGATCTGACATAACCAGCTGCTGGAGTTCCTGTCTCGACTTCTCTGCTATGATGGACTGTAACCTGGAACTGTCTGCTGAAGCAAACCCTTCCTTCCCTAAGTCACTTTTATCAGAGTATTTTATCACAGCAACAGGAAGGACATTAGGACATCTGCGAGGTCCTGGGTTCCAGCCCCAGCATCATGCAATTTGGGTGTAGCATGCACATCTGAAATCTCAGCACTCTGTTAGTAGAGGGAAGAGGATGGTCCTCAGCTACATAGTGAATTCCAGGCCAGCCTGGACCACATGAGACTCTGCCACACCTACCCCTAAAGAAGGCTGTGCTGTCAGGGGTGCCCTGTGACGGCACCAGGCACCATGGGAAGGATCTATGACAGCTGCCTCCAATCAGTGAAGGGAAGTACAGCTGGCTCGGTATGTGCCACTGTTGACTGTGTTCAGCTTTCTGCAGAACCTCTAGGCTGTCATTCATCTCCGTGTCTATGGTTGGGACCCACAGCACTCTGGGCTCTAGGTGGAGGTCAGGCTCACTCACCTGCTGGTCTCTGTGCTGTACTGCCCCTTGCCCACTTGATTCACAGCGCACACCCTGAACTGATAGGTTCGGGCTGGAGTCAAGCCACTCACAGTGACGCCTGTCATCTCTGGGCCAACATTTGACAGATGCACCTTCCATGGAGAGTCTACAAGAACGAACAGAGTGGAGTGAGACACACACAAGCATGCAGCGTCACAGTAAGCGGACAGGCATGGTCTTGTTTGCTTTCTCACACAGTGCAAGGAGAGGTAGTGGCTAGCCCACCTGACGACTGTGCGAACCAAGGCTCTCAGCTGTGTGGCTAGCAACCAGTGTACTGGCGTGAAGTTCAGGAGCCTCACCCCAAACCTAGGGTAGAACTTCCTGGTATTCCTAGGGTCATTCCAGGACAAGTGGGCAGAAAGACCCCCTCCATCTGTCCTCAGCAAGGAGGTATGAGTCTCTCTCTCTCTCTCTCTCTCTCTCTCTCTCTCTCTCTCTCTCTCTCTCTCTCGGTTTGTGTATGTGTTACTATGTGTACAAGTAAAGTTGTACATGCCTGTGGAGGCCGGAGGTCAACCTTGAGGGTCATTCTTCTTTGAGATAGGATCCCTCACTAGTGTGGAACTCACTGAGTCTAGGCTGGCTGGCCAACAAGCTCCAGGGAGCTCCTATCTCTGCCTCCCTAGCACTGGAATTACAGGCCTGCATCTTCACACCAGATGCTTTAGATAGGCTCTGGGGAATTAAATCCAGGCCCTCAGCACTTTATGGACCGAGTCATCCCCCTCAGCCAAAGTAAACTTCCTCCTCCTCCTCCTCCTCTTCTTCTGCCTGCATATGGGCACTTCAGAGGAGGAAAAAATCCTAATTCCTGGCCTCAAAATGGGGCAAGTTGTCTGTCAGCTCCCCATCAGGTAGATCGAAGCTTTGTCAGGAAAAGGATGCTCCACAAGGCAGGGAATGATAAATAAGCACTACATTCCTTAACACTTTAATAAGGAAACGACTATGATAAATACAGATGGGCCAGGCATTCTGCAACCCATCTGCAGTGTGGCAGCCTGTTTTCGCCACACCCACGAGCTGCTCTGGCTGGGGAAAGACGTGGCAGAATTCATAGCTAGCAAGGTGCATCTTTTGGAAGCTGCTCTCCCGCAGGTGTGGAAGGATGTCTCTATCAGCAGAATGGGCTATTGCCTGCAAGGAAGCCTTGGGACCACTCTGGTAGGATTGACACTGATTTCCAAGGAGTTTAAACACTCCTCTCAGCGCAGCCAAGGGTGACCCAGCCGTGACTCTGAGCATCTGCTCTGAGCTTCCACTCTACACACAGGGGGCCTGTCAGGCTCTCCTGGCCTCGCCCTTCTCATCCTCTGAGATGGTGCTCCTAGCAACCCCCTTTTGCCTATAGTAAAGATGGTCAGAGAGAGATGGGTTTCCAGTGAGCTGGGCTCCACTTACACAAACACCAGCTGCACGTAAACAGCACCCATAAAAACCACAGCTGCTTCCGCAGAAAGCTGGTGGCCGACTTTAGGAGGTGAGGGCATGTACCGGGGTTCATGGGAACTGTACCTGCCACTCCAACTACTTACAGGTCACCATGAAGTGGCCTCATATTGCTACAAAATAGAACCCAGGCTCCCCAAAGGCAGCAAAAGGGATGCCTATCGCCAAGTTGGAATTTGTTTGCTGGGATTCCTGAACACAAAAGTCAAGCTACCTCGAACACAGTGCCAGTTGGGCTGCAAAGACAGATTTTTTTATATATAATTATTGCAGATAAAGCTGCTTCTGAGCGTAGCTTTCTGGGAATATGGTTTTTGACAGCAGTTGAGCCATGTTATATTCCTGGCTTTTGATTTTTGGTGATTTGGGTAATTAGCTGTTGACAAGGATCCCTCTACATTTCATTTAAAAGTATAGTGTTGGGCTTAGTGGGTAAGAGGGTTTGGCAAGCAAGAGGACTTGAGTTTGAATCCCTGGTACCCATGTAAAAATCTGGGCATGGCTGTGTGTGCCTGAAATCCCAGCACTGGGGACATAGACAGCAGGTCCTGAGAGCTTGCTGGCCAGTCTGGTCAAAAAGGTGAGTTTCAGCTCAGTGACACACACACACACACACACACACACACACACACACACACACACACGGACCCACGGTAATGTATATCCTTAATTTGCCATGGAAAAGCCTCGCCCTCTGAGCCTCTCTCACTATCACATATCCCACAAAGACCAGAGTTCCTCACAAGAGTCTCTGACAATGCAAAAGGTCAGAGGACTGCCCCTGACACTGTGGAGCTGGGCCTGTCTGGTGGGAGCAGAGCCTCCCTTTGCCAAGGTTAACATTTACAGAATTAGCTTCATTCCAAAGATGGCTGCTGTGAGAGGGAGAACCAGAAGACCAGCATTAGCTGGGAACTCTTCCTTTCAGAGCTGTCCAGTTGCCTTGGAACTTCTGTAAAATTGAGAGACCATCAAGACCACACATCACCTCATATCTACTGGGAAAATGGATATCAAACAAACAAACAGAAAATAACAGGGATCATGGGACCCTGCACTGTGCCAATTTCTTCCTCACAGAACCATGTGGGTGGAGTCTCAGACAACTCATCCCATCCTTCTCCTCCTCTGGACTTCAGCTGTCTGCTAGTGAGAAGCTATTCTGCTTAGATAGCATGAGTGAGCCTAGTCATGGCAGGGAGGGACAGAATTGGGAGGATGGGGTGCCAGTTGGTTGACTAAGATGTTTCATCAGAGCCAGAGAAAGGCAGAGAAGGCTGAAGGCAGGAAGCTGCCTGCTGGGACTTCAATCTGGTGTGTCCCCATCAAACCTCATCTTGAGGCTGGGTCCCCTGGTATGGCGACTATTGTTAATAGTCAACTTGACAGAATCTAGAATCATCTGTGAGACAGGCCTCTGGGCATGCCTTCAGGTTATCTTGATTATATTAACTGAGGCAGGAAGACCTGCCCACTGTGGGTGGCACCATTCCCTAGTTGGGATCCTTGACTGGATAAGTGGAGAAAGACCTGAGAAGCGGCATGGGTTCACTGCTTTATGTTTCCCAACTGTGGATGTGACATGAACAGCCACTTTCGGTGTCTGTCACCTTGACTTTCCTGCCATGATGGACTAAACCCTTGAACCATGAGCCAGAACAAAGCCTTCTTCCTTGGGCTGATTTTGTTAGGGTATTTCTCATAGCAAAAAGAAAAGAAATAAGTATGCCAGGGCATGTTGTTGGGAGGTAGTGCTTTGGGGAGGCATGGGGACCTTTAAGAGGGAAGAGTGGGGCTCAGGGCTCCCCTACACTTGTGAAACCCTAGATCCAATCCTCAGCACAAAAACAAACAAAACAAAACCACAAACAAACAAAGGAGGATGAATGCCTTCCTTGTAGGAGTGAGCTTTCTCCATCATGGAACTGGACTGGCTTCTAAGTGCACCCGGCACCCAGCTGCCTCATGGGTACCTGCTTTCCTTTCTGCTCCTCTACTGTGTTATGACACAACCTCGCCACTTTACACATTACCCCGCCTCAGGTATTCTGCTACAGCAACACAAATGCACCCCAAGACACTGCTGCCCCCATATCAGGCCTCCCAGCCTCTGTCCAGTACAACTCTGGGCTGTGTTGTTCTTTTAGAACATGAACAGCTCTAAAATGTCTATAACCTAAGGCTCAGGGTCTGCTGCCTGGCTTGATTAGACAAAGACCCTGTTCATCTCCTTGGCATCTCTGGTCTGCTCAGAGCTCCAGGCCCATCTATAGAATTCTTTTATTCTTTTCCCTCCCTACTAGAAGATAAGAAGTCTGGCAGGTAGAGAAATTAAACTGTGAAACTCATCAAAATGAGCCCAACCCATCTCACAGGCACCCTAATTGTATCCTCCCCACAAAAGTAGTAGTGGTTTGTGAAGGATTTACTCATTCACAAGCTCTGGAGCTGCAAACCTGCTGAGGGCTGTTGAAATGTAAAGAGTGTGGCACATCCGGACCCGAGAGTAGACAGTCAACATCCCAGCCAGTCTCACAAGACTACCCGAGGGGCTGAAGAGCCAAGAATGTGGCTGCCGGGCCTGACACACGTGACCCTGGCTGCTCCCCCCTCCCCCCACCCCAGTGTTCCTCCTGTGCCTGATCTGGTAGCTGCTACTGGATTCTGAATGACCAAGACTTCAGATGACTGGCAGGTTGATTTTTTTTTTTTCTGTTTCTTATTTTGTGTGTGGTGTAGATGTTCTTGTGGGCATATAAACATGTGCATGTGGGTGTACACGTGTATGAGCAAGCCTGTTTAGGCCAGAGGTCCATGTCAGATGTCTTCCTTGATTGCTCTCCACTCTGTGTGTGTGTGTGTGTGTGTGTGTGTGTGTGTGTGTGTGTGTGTGTGTGTGAAAGAGGGAGAGAAAGTGGGGGGAGAGGGGGATGAATGTGTGTGCATGTGTGTGTAACTGGCCTTGAACTCAGTATGTAGCCAGAGATGAACATCTGAATCTTCAGCCTCCACCTCCCAAGTACCTGGTTTTTTGTGGTGCTGGGGATAGAACCCAGGGCCTTGTGCATGCCAGGCAAGCATTCTACTAACTGAACTATATCCCAGCCCTCAAAGGCTGTCAGGGTTCAGTTGATGAAAATGTACTGGAAGCTTTTTTACACACACACACACACACACACACACACACACACACACACACACAGCGTTGCTATTTTCTCAATTAACAGCACCAAAGAAGGAAAATGTTTTTTGAGGAGAAAATTTTCTCTAATTTCCAGAAGGATCAGGATGGTTGTGAATCCCTGATGCTTGCATAATGGTGTGCAGCCTGGAAGAGCTTCCACAGAAGTCCCACTGCAGCCTCTCGGCTTATGTGACTTCCCTCAGACTTCACAGGGGAGTCACCGACCATGCCTATGCATCAACCTCAGCATCACCAGGTTGAAGCACTAGACCATGTGTGCCCAAAGTGGGAAGGACCCTCCTATGCCTGTGCACACATGCACAGAGATACAGGCATGCACATACATGGGTAATACACTGCACAGATGCACAGATGGACTGAGACTCAAATCTAGCCTTCAGGTACTAAAAGAAGATGCAGGGATGGATTCACAAACATTGTGACCCAAATTTAGGGCACTGGACGTCCTC